AATTACTTAAAATTCTACTCATTTTTAATACACCTTATACATCATACTATCATGGTCATATGGTACCTTGTATAGTACTAGTCCATAAATATCGGGTATTATAGCTCGAACCGTATTTTATCCCAAATCGACAACCTTCAACGAAACTCATTTTCTTTAATTCGTGTACCCTTTATCCTTCATGGCACTTACTTATCGTTTGTTATAAATAGCATAAATACGTTAACCTCAAAATAATCTCATCCCCGCGTCTACGTCGATTAACTGAAGACGAAACTTTAACGTATGAAAACGCGAGATGTAACACGAACGCCTCGAATCTAGTCACAATTAATTCGATTAAGTCAATACAAATTATAGGAATTAATTCCATATGAAAATACTAATTTTCCAACAAAATACGAAATTCAACTCAAAAATCGTCAGTAGGGCCCACATCTCGGAACCCGACAGAAGTTACAAAATATGAACGCTCATTCAACCACGAATTCTACCATACCAAATTTATCAAATTCCAACAACAACTCGACCTCCAAATCCTTAAATCTTATTTCCAAATCCCTAGGTCCAAATCCTCGAAATTCACCCTAAAAACATGTAATCTAGTGACTTACCTCAAGTTTTTCCGTGAATTCTCTCTGAAAAATTGCCTCAACCCGTGTTTGAAATGTCCAAAAATGAGAAAATCTCGGACCCCTCTATTTTTGTACACTGTCCAGAGGTTCCGCCCATGCGGAATTTTTTAACTGCTTCTGTGCCTCCTTCGCTTCTGCGGACTCGCTTCTGCGGTCTAGTCCCTCCTTAGCCCAGGTCACATCTGCGACCATTTTTTCGCTTCTGCGAGGTTTCGTCCGCTTCTGCGATGCCAGGCTCGCTTCTGCATGCTTGCACCTGCGTGATAATTTCCGCAGGTGTTATTGCATTAGTAGGCAAAAATTTCGAGCTTTGTTCTAAGTTCAAATTTGATCTGTTAACCATCCGAAACTCACCCGAGGCCCCCGGGACCTCAATCAATTATACCAATAAGTCCCAAAACATTATAAGAACTTATTCGAAGCCTCAAATCACATCAAACAACGCTAAAGCACGAATCATACCCCAATTCAAGCTTAACGAAACTAAGAAATTCCAACTTCTACATTCGATGTCGAAACCTATCAAATGAAGTCCGATTGACCTCAAATTTTGCACACAAGTCATACATTACATAACTACCTATGAAAATTTTTAGAATTGGATTCCGACCCCGATATCAAAAAGCCAACTCCCGGTCAAACTTCCAAACTTTAAATTTCCTATTTTCGCTATTTCAAGCCTAATTTAATTACGGACTTCCAAATAATTTTTCGAACACACTTTTAAGTTCAAAATTACTATACGGAGCTATTGGAATCATCAAAACTTTATTCTGGGGTCGGTTACATATAATTCAACATCCGATCAATTATTTCCACTTAAGCTTTAAATCTTAGAACTAAGTATTCCAATTCATTCTGAAACCTCCCCGACAAGTCACATAATTATAATTTAATACAGGATCAGCAGTAAATGGGAAAACAGAATTGTAATACTCAAAACGACCGGTCGAGTCATTACAATATCCTTTTAAATTTAACCAAAAATAATTTTTAGTATGCTTGTATTTTGTAGAAGGGGAGGCTTGGAGCAATACTAAAGTTGTCTCTGTATGACCTATAGGTCACAGATTTGGACCGTGGAAGGAGCCACTAATACTTGCATGAGGTTTATCTACATCACACCCCTTGGGTATGTCCCTTCTCCAGACCATGCGTGAATGATGGATGCTTTGTGTACCGAGCTGCCCTTTTTATGATTATGTTTTGTAATGACAATAATAAAGCACAAGGGCAAACAATCCAAATATTGGACTGTATTTGCTGCAATATATTTTCTCGCACGGATAACTATATGGTGCGCTTTCAAGAGGAATATCAACGTCGACGATAAAAGTTCTGGCCATGATGGAGCAACCAAAATGTTAGAAGGAAACATACACAGACAATAACATTTACAAAGAAATTTTAGGTAAAATATCATCACATTGCATATTTCTAAATTATAAGTAGATAGTCATATTATCTAACTAACATGATTAAATCGATCATTTTGCAGGTTCAAATANATATATATAATTAGTTGACTTTGATGTTCCTTCATATAAATAATATACTAAATCATTATGTGCTATTGTTAACGTGCAATGCACGTTCGTAGAAACTAGTTGCTTTAAAAAATCAAGAAGGCATTAATTAGTTTTTCCCATATCTATCCTTGATCCGATAAATGATCTACAAAATATGATACATAGAGTAATTTAAGAAGATATAAAGGATAGCTTTCTTAAATAACGCCTATATTAATGGATGTGTCAAAACCTTGAGGCACTTATTTTGAATGAGAGGTTAGCATCGCCTGAGAAAAAATAATCCATAAATATTTTAATAACTTGACATTATAAGTAAAATTTTATATTATCAATACATATAACTTAAGAAATTTTTTTACGCATACTAATTAATACAACTTAAATATGATGTTATTGAGCTCATGCGCATCATGTGTTATCCCTTACTAGTCTTGCATAAAAGGCAACTAAAAGAACTAATTAAAGTATTTCAATCGATAAAGTTTACTTATTCTTTCAACCGTCGATTGGGTGAAAAAGTATCACCCTCAGAATGTGAGGCCATGAGCATATTTGAGCCAAAATAAATAGGGTTTTAACACATTTAGCCGCTCTGTCAAAAATATTTATAGTTGTTATCCAATATACATAAATTATATACTAATTAGGTATAATATATGTATATTATGTGTATATTATACATTAACATACTTATATTATACATTTGCTAGCTATTATTTTGGGTGGATGACTATTTAAATTAATTTCTCAAATAAGTACTCCTTTTGTCTCATTCAGTTTCAATACTTTTATGGGCTTTTAGTTCCACATTTTAGTACTGGACTGATATAATTGAAAAGGTTAGCTGAGTTAGCCACAATTTAGGCCGCCTATTAGAGTTAGTTAGCTTTTCAAATGTATTACTATTAAAAAGGCAACTTGTCCTACTAAACTGATATTTTTGCCCCAAACTAAATTATATAGCAACTGTAGCAATTGGTGATGGACTTCTAATGGTTCGAACTCCAAGAACAATTCCTGAAATTTGAAATTCCCTTATAATGTTGGGGTTCTAAACTTTTACAAGTAAAACCCCATCGTAAACTTTACTTTAGCCACACAAACTCCATTACTATATGTTGTAATTTTACTTGTAAAAGTTTGAAGCTCCAGTCCACTATATTGGAGTTCCATGAACAAATTATGGGGTTTGAACAAATAGTTATTTAAACATAAATAATCGTTCTTAGAGTTTCACTCTTAAAAGTTTCGAACTCTAGTATATGGCGCTAAGATTTCAAATAATTTTTTTTTTTAAATTCTAATTCGGAATTTAGAAAATGTTCAAAGTCTGGCAGTTGTTCCGGGAGGTTTTTCGTGTTTTAGTTGGGGGTATTTTTGTTCAGATATTTTTCGTATTAAAAGAGTGACTAAATACTTTGAAATACCGGTTAAACTCTAATACTAGAGGTTAAAAGTGGCTATCTATATATTTCTATAAAGGAGGGCCTAGAAAACCTGATGTGGCATATCTCTTTCTTCAAGGATTACATTTATCTTTTTCCTCGTATTCTTAATATTTTTCACATTTTTTCCATTTATGCGTATATTAAGAACCCCAAAAGTCATATTTTGCAATCACTGAAAAGTCACGTCTTTAGAATTACAGTCATTCCCTTCATCTTCTTTCTCACATTCGTTGCTTCTTGATCTCTGTCGCCTTCTTCCTCTCCTTTTCTTCTCGTCGGTCCCTTCGACTGCTTCTCCACCGTGGAATGCTTGGCTGCTCGTGCTTTTCACCGCCATTACAGAGAGAAAAGGATTCGGAAAGCAAAGTAGCAAATTCAGAATGGGTTCATGGCCATTCCGAATCCATTAGTCTAATTGCTCATTATCTGCAGGTATATAGTAGTGAGCATAAAAACAAGTGGGATCGAAATCCCTTGTAACGGTAAGGCCTTATTAACTTGGCTAATCGTTTCTATCTTTAAACCCTATTTCCATTCTCTATTTATTTACTTTGTTGGATTCTATCTACATTAATCATAAGCGAAGTCTTGATTTCTGACTCAAAAGTTAATAAAGTTATTTTCCGATAGAACTTATTTGAAGATATGATCTTTCAAGATTCAAGCACAGGTATGAGATTGTGGCTTCTGTGTAAGCCTACTTTTGGATGAGAATAGAAGCAGAGTGAAAGCAATTTCTTGATAAAAAATTAATCTGATTAAGATTATGGTGCATACCGGAAGAAGGCTAGATTTTGAGTCCAAGATGGACATGAGTATGACTATTAAGGTTTAATACATGAGCAAATCAATAAAGCCAGAGTGAAATTACTGCGGAAATCTAAGAGTAATTATACAGTACTTTCTTGCATTTCACTGTTAATACTCTCTTTACTTTCTGGTTCTTTTATTTATTCTCTCCTTGGGAAATTTTTGAAGTATTACAAAATCTATCACATAGCTTTTGAAGAGATAAAGCAGATTTTCTGTATCATGGTGGTGAAGACCATCAGCTTTCTGACTTGATGAATGTTTCCTTAAACTTTGGAAGGTTAGTATCATACATTATAAAAATATGGCATTTTCTCCTGATTTACCAAGACAAGATCTCATCTTTTTCCACTCATTGTTTGGTTCTTTTTCCCTTTCTTATAGGAATAGCTTTATTTATTTAGTGTGCTAATAAATAAAATCAATGAATAGTTGTAAGATGACGATGTAGAGTAGAAGAGTTATCAAAAAGTTAGCAACCATTAGATTCTACGTACCATCTTTTGCCTGCAATGAAATTTCAGAGAATGCTCTTGAACGTATGTATATTCTTGGTTTTAAGCTTAAATTCTTTTTCTTTGGATTTAATTGTTTAAGCATCTATAGTTTTTTTTTCCCTAATAGGTTTATTTTGTTCTTCTTTTCGGATTGCCTAGGTCCTCTATCTGAAATAGCAGAAAAAATTGATGCTTGCTGACGTTGCCTCAATTTGGTCGTAGATTTACAATTTATTCTATACTTTCACTGATGATTGTGTTTGGAAAATGCATGGTGACCAATGAAAATAGTGCTAGAAAATTTAATGCTCTTGGGCTCCAGAAATCACACCATATATTAGTGAAGCATAATTCTATGTCAGTATGTTCTCTCATCCACACTTATATACTGATTAAATTGCAGGCTTACTTTCTATAGTACTATCTTGGTGTTCCTAAAGAAAATTATTGTATAATTATAAACATCTATTTGTTAGTAATAATAGAAAAAAGTGGGAGGACTCTCCGTCATCAGAGTCCCATTTCCCACCAATATCCTTTGAGGAGAACGTGTCAGAAATATGTTAAATGTTGTCTAATTTTTGCTGATAAATAGTACTATATGTTATTTTTTGAGTCATACTTTATCCTTTAGTTTATCATTTCCGTTAAATATTCAGGGATATAACATTTAATTATTAGATTTTGATTAATTTTGATCTGGAGTTTCGATGTACTATTATGTGATTCTTTGCTATTGGATCCTTCTATACCTGACAAGTTTTACTGATTTCTTCCTTTTTTTAAAGAAAAGAAAAGAAAAGAAAAGAAAATGAGAGCATTACAATCTCAACATCCTAGGTACTATTCTCATTAATCTTTTCCCTTTAATCAATTATTCCTTAATTTTTTATTTTTGTATCAATTTTTAAAGTTAAAGCTATAATTTGAATGAAATCTTTCTTTAGTTTGTATGATCCATATATATTTTTTATTTATTTTGCATAATCATTGTCAATCTCTTTGACGAATAAACATATTTATCTCTTTTTTTTCTTTTCCTATTTTCCCTTTTACCTATTTTTTTTATGTGTTAAGAAGTCCAAAAGTTGCCTCATTGATCCCCTAAATCATTACACCTTAAATGACTTTGACAGTTTTTATATGGACTTTCATTTTTCCTTTTTTTGAAGTAGCCTTTTGAGCTTTCTTTGCCAACATTGTTGCCTCTCACTTTTGTTAAAGACACTTTATTAATAATATGTTGTATTTACAAATGTATTGCTTCAAATCAGGCAGTTCTGCTCTTCAAGCTGAAAATACAAAGATCAACGGTCACAAATTTCACAGCCACAAGAAAGAAAGTCAGGGTCTATTCCATAAATCCATATAGGCGATGCTGGAGAAACTCTAAGGTTTATAAAATAGTCAGTGCTTTTTGTAGCAGAAATGGTTAACGTGTATGCAAATATATGGGGACTTTATGTAATATATTTGTCATGGTGGTGAATTTTGCTACTCCCTCTGGCATGTTATGAATATTTAACTTGTATGCAAATGCAATAATAGATGTTTTTTTATTATTATTATGAGTTTTGAGTTGTGCCTATTTAGTAGTACTATTAATTTTCCTCTGGCCTGGCTTTGATTCCAAAATTTTGTCAATATATATGCAAAACCTTGAATCTTAAAGATAACAAAATTTTGAAATACCTTCTTTGTATCTAAAACCTTACATTGCATATATGGCTTCTTAAATATGAAACCTTCATAAAGTTTCATGTTATGCAGCCATGATATGTTCCTTTTCAACCATCAATACATCTATTTTATGACAGAGGTCTCGCAAGATAATATTTTAACTGGATATTGGTACATTAAAGACAATTTAACCAAGAATCAATTCCTGTTATCTTCATGTTCTGATTTAAATACCTGAGCCCCATAATTCTGATACAGTAACACACATAAAAGTAGCTTCCAGAAGCTAAATGTCCCAAATTCAATTTCTACTAAATGCCAAAGATGAAAATAGCTCTCAAATCACCATTATATAACCAAAAAAAAGATCATCTAGATACCAGAATTAAGTATCAATAACATACCTTTTTAACATTAAAAGATATTAAATTTTAAGAGAGAGAGGCTGATGGTTTACATCCCTAGATTTTAACATAACTATTATTAAAATTCACACGTCATGATTTACATAAANCATTGGTTTTCCCGTACGGTACTGACAATCTAGTCTAGCGTACGGAGGGGACCTCAGTTGGCGGACAGCAACCGTACTGACATCGGTTGCCTAGCCTTACGTCGCCCTTCCAAGGAACTTCAGGAAGGCGCCGCGTAACAATTATTATGAGACTAAGATTCTATTGTATTTTGACTTTTGTTAACGGCCGCTAGTTTTTGAAGTAAAACAAACAGTTGACTTTTTGACTTTCTGCATTGCTTCAAACAATTGACGGCCCCACGAGGAAGATTTGTAGCGGCCGGGAATTGTAGGCAACGAACGGCAAACCTTATCTCATGGCCGTTGCAATGACTCACTTTACTATTCTTTGGCAGCCGCAACTGTTGCTTGCTCCATCTAGGTCTCGCTCTCAGCTCGACGCTTGCAGTATATGTACTCGAAAAACATTCTCTTCCCCTTCTGGTAAAAACCGGAGCAATCATCATCATTTTCAGCACACTACCAATTCCAAGTATGGGATTCTGAATTGTGTATGCTGCTCTACCGATTCAACTTCACGCCGTGGTTTCGGTGGTCCGAATGACGGCAACACTAAGAAGGTCTTGCTTATCATCTTTCGTTTCTATCTTCTGCAACGCATTGACATTTCATCTCTCTTTTCAGACCCAATTGATGTCACCCTTTTGATTTTGTAACCATAATTTGAATCTAGTGCTAAACTGTTATCCCTGAATTTGGATCTAATGCTAAACTGTTGCTGCTACTTAAATTTAGGGAAAGAATTCTGCAACCGCCAGAAGGCAGGCCAAGGGCATAGTACGTCCGCAAAGGTGCTCATCTCTTTCTTCCTCCGTGGAACTTTTTGTTATATATTGTTTACATTTAATTAATAATTTTTTTTTAAAAAATCAATCCTTTCATAGCTTTGTAGCCACCAATAACGACTATCGTCTATTTAAATACAATTGGTCCTTTCGAAAGTGTTCTAACTTTTGCAGTAAATATTTCTTCTTTTATAACTTTCCTCCAAAACTCTCCTCCTTGTCTAAAGTTCTACTCGTGAATCAAGTTGGTATTTCTTGCTTTCCTAAGAGGAATTTCTCCACCACTTAAGTAGTGCAGAAATTCAAACGATTGCCATATCTTTTTTTTTTTCCGGTAAAGCTATTTGCATTAATCCCATCGCAACCTCGCGAAGGAGAGGGAGCAAATATCGCTTTTAGGAAAGCATTTTAACGTGTTCTAATTCTTCATCTTTGGTGTTCTTAGTTCATATTATCCAATGCTTCTCGGGGCACCTTGTATGTGGTATGCAAAATATGCTGATTCACCGCAAATGGTTTAACAGTTGTATCATGCTGAATTATTTCGTTTTTAGCAACTCTTACGATGAATGATCAAGAAATATGGCAATAGTTGGTGATTCTTTATATGACAACAAAAATCAAGCTAAAAAAATATTTATGAAATGGTTCTAAGTTTGTTAAAAGACAAATGGGATGGGTTTCGTGTCCTTGGAAATCCACTTTGCAGGGTTTTCCTTATCGTTCTGCAACACGTTTTGAACATATAAAAATACCTTTATTTTGAAATTCCATTGGACTCGACTGGAGTAATGTATTATAGGAATCATCCTCTTTCAATCAAAGAGCTATTTGAACGATTCCCATGTTTGTAGTTCGAAAGGAATAGGATCCCAGGAAATTTATTCAAACCTGATTCTTCTGAAATTTTCTATTCCCATGAACGGCCTCTTACCAAGTGATACTGAGGAGGGCCGGACCCGTATATCGTTCTTGATTCTTGAAAAGTTGGTAATGGGACGTTGACTCAATTTGGGATAAGAATTTATTGCTTTTGCTCTCCACAAACGATATCATCATTGTGACACTGGGAGATAATTCTCTTTCTTGGAACTTCCACTTTATCCGCAATTTGAATGATAGATTATCAAATAATCTCATAACTCTATTAGCTTCTCTTATCAGTAACATCATTCTTTCCAGCTTTTAGATACTCAGATATGGATAGATTCCTCTATGTTTTTCACTCGTAAATCCTTTTCTCCTACCTCACTTATATGCAACCACTCACGAGCTTCCCTTTGGTATCTTTTTCCTTGAAAGTGAAGTTCCGTCTAAAATCAAGTAACTTGGGAGACCTTACAACACCAACCTGTTACAATGGAGAAGACCTTTTAAATCTATATTTTCAGATTCATGCATCATATGCAAGAAGAACAGTGAGGTCCACAGTCAATTATTTCGGCTTTGCACTTTTGCCAGAGGACTAAATTCAGTTGAGATGTATGATGACTCGTCTTTCTTACTAAGCGAGTTTTTAATGGTCAAACATTGGAACTTTTGTCCAAAAGTTTGGTGAAATTTTCTGAAAAGACTGTTGCATGATGTATTTGGATGGAGAGTAACATGAGGACATTGAAAGATTTGTTTCTCGGTTCAATATGTGTGATAATCTTCTCTGCATGTAAAGCACTGGGTCTTTTCATGATGTTGCTTTACTTGATCTGCAACGAGGTTAGAGGGCGATGTTCTTTCAGATATAGTAAGTCCTTTGGTTTAGGAGTCTACTCTTCTTCCATATACGGCTTCCTCTTTAATAAAATTTCCTTGTATGTCAAATAATGGAAAAGAAATGTAAAAGGAAAGGGATTTGAGATGCACCCAATCATTACTTATCAAAACAACTAGAACAACAACTACGCTTGTCTTAAACAAGTTGCAGTCAGTTATAGGTATCTACCATTTCTCCATTTAAATTCATCTCGGGCCAACTTTATACAAAATAATTAATAATAGTGCTAGGAGTTCTCTAGATCTTCTACTTGCCTAAAAATCTATGACAGGGACTAAAAGAATCCCCTCCCCCCAAGAAAGCATATGACCTAAAATAAACATAATAACATGTTTGAAACATATACGCAACCAATTAGTGTTGCCTATATATACATACCCACACACACACACATTGTGCCCTATCTGTCACTAAGTCGCATTGCTTCCAAGAAATTATAGGTCATTTGAGACAAATTCTTTCCATGTAATTTTAGGTCTAGCTCGTCCCTGTTTAACACCTCTACTCATTATGGTTTCACACCTTCGGATATTCTGAAACTAATATATGAAAAAAAGCACCACACTGGATATGGCATCTATAGTGTTGTAATGCAAAGGGAATAGACTTCCATGGATGCAAAAGTTTGAGTAATCTGACATGATATTGTGAGTGTATCGGTGTGGATGTCTATGGAGGAGGATGGAAGGTTTTAGGGAAGAGAAGATGCACTTAATAGCCGCACCCAGACCGTACTGATGTTTCTATTCTCCACCCCCTTCTATAATTCCACAATTTTCTGCTATTACCCCCTCCATAGGGCATTCTCCTCTATCCTAAACCTCCAAATCCACTTGCCTAATAGAGCTTTATTGAAGACCCTTTGATTCTTCACTCTAAGTCCTCCCATTTCTTCGGAATCGTTACAAGTACTAGATGAAATGAAACTTCCTTGTTTCGTCTGTCGCATCCCGTAGGAAGTTCCACTGAAGTCTTTCCAACGTTCAGTTATGATAATTGGAGTCTGGCATAACAACATGAAATAAGTGGGTATGCTAGACAGAGTACCTTTTATGAGTACAAAGTATCTCTTTTGCCAGCCTTCTAACCACTTCTCAACCCTCTCAATCACTGGATTCCACACCAGTAGATCTCTGTTTGAAGCATCCAAAGGTAGACCAGGAGGTTGTAGGTAATGCACCAATTATCCACCCTACCTACCAGTATGATCTCACATTTTCTGAGGTTGATGTTGAGGCATAACACAACCTGGAACCAGATGAGGATCTGCCTCAAGTATGAGAAACATCTGCGATATGCATCACAGAACACCAAAGTATCATCTGCAAATAAGAGATGGTGCACCAGTATGTACGTGAAGACCTAACCTAAGAGGCGATATAGAAAGGTCATTTCATGTCAGAGATATTAATTTAATTTGAATGATACCATGTCATAATGGAGAAGATTCATAGTTTTTCAGTTCTCTCATCTCCTTCTAGTGCTTTAGAAATTATTTGTATTTGTTCTATTGAACTTGTACCTTGGTGTTTTCTAGAATTACATGTTGATCTAAATAGTGCTTTGAAGTCAGCAACCTTTTCTCTTTGTCATTA